CAACATCCCCTATGGGAGTCGAAACCGCGTCCTGCACATAAAAGCTGTAACTTCCCAGTGGGTAATGTCACACAGAAATAACATTTCTATGAGATTGTTATTTATGAAGAGAAATTATATTTGCTATAGAAGTCGGTTGACCTCGTTGTCGCGACTTGGTCTTATTGTCAGAGAAACTTAGTGGAACGCAACTAGTCCGAAATCGTCTGCCATAGTAGTTGTCATGATTCCCGGCCTTAATGGATGGTGTAACCGTTTTCGGCAGAATGTTTGTCGAGGGATTGACTTCATTTGCCTCTTTGACGAATTCGTAGCTTGGTGCGGAGTAAGGCAAAAATCACTGATGATGTCGACTGCGATGCCGGCGAAACGTTTGAGAATGTACCAAGTCCACTGTCTGATGCTGGGAATCATGATAACTACTATAGCAGACGACGTCGGACTAGGTGCGTTCTACATGGTCTCCCTGAAAACAAGACCAAGTTGCTACAACGAGGTCAACCCACTACAGACGACTTCGGACTAAGTCACCCTGACAACAAGACCAAGTTGCGACAACGAGGTAAACTCACTTCTATAAATCGAAAAAAGACTGCGACCATACCAGAGGCCACAACATCTTGGTCTTCTTATCTGTATTTTCTATATTTATAGGCGATATGATTAGATACAAGGTGAGTAAGTTTCAACCAACATAAGGTCGAGTACAGGAGCCCACGATCTTGTAACAACCGGATCCTGATAATGGCACATACTTCTCTCTAAAAAAGGCATAACCGAAGGAAGTGTCAGAGTTTCTTTGAAAGCGTTTTTAAATCCCACTTCGTCTCTAGTTCGCCTATCTTCTTTGAAAAAAGAAATGACGACAAGATTACGGCATGGGAAAGAGTAACAGTTTGCCCCTCTCTGACAAAAGATTATCATTTGAATACTTATTCCTCACTAAAAAGATATATTATTATCAATTAAGTCGGAAGGATAGTTATTTTCCATAAATAAATGTTACAGTATTCTTCACTCAGATGATTTTCATCCCCAAACCTCATACTACCCAAGCATATGCTGCTTTCCTATGAATATCTCGGCCTAACTTACTAATGAGAATAAGCAGTCGTCTTCTTGTGAGATCGGCCTGCAAATCTCTTTAACATTCACTTTTATATGAAATGAAGGTTTCCACAACAATATTATTTATCTCAAGAAATTAATCAACACTCTCTTTTCCTTCGTTTAACCATAAAAGTAGGTGAAATAAGAAGAAATTTGAATAGAATACGAAGATTTAGTCTAGTTCAAACAACTATGTAATTATTATGGTTCAGAAGAGTAATGCTCATCAGAATCTCTCAAAATAAGCCCTCATGATTGGCTATAATGCATACCTGAACATTGGCATTGCTGGTGTTCCTCAAGCAAATGCGTGAGGCCCGCACCTCATTGGGATGAGGATGCCGGCCTAGCACTTCCCAGGGTTCAACTGTGCATCGTATCTGTGCATCGTCTAGTTGGCCATTTTGCTCTCGATTATCTTCAGCGGAGCCAAAGTGTGAGACCGATCGAGTCGATTTATTGCGAGTATTCAATCTGAACCTGACACTCCTACCGAGAGCACCTACATCTTCCAATGTAGATGCGTTAACTTTGCATCTTGGCCTACGACCTACGCTTGGCTCTCGACCAGACAAACAAGCCCAGCTTATGCCAGGGCTAGCTTCATCAATACTCGACTCCTCTTCAACAGGGCTAGAGGTGCGTGATGGCAAGTGAAGTATGCCTGAACCACTAGCTTTGCTTAAGGAAATTGCACTTCGGGAGTATGAAGATGGACCTTTTATTGTGCAACGATTGCGAGAAAATGAGGAAGCTGCACGGGCAGAATATGAGGGCAACGTCTGCACAGCAGCGTCCAGGTGGCTGGGCGACTGCAGCGAAGCTGGTGTATTTGCTCGAGAAGCCATAGGAGCAGAGGCGACGGTGCCTGTTTCAATCTCTGCCCCATCGAGTCCAGAGGAGGAATCAGAGTTGCTGCCAAAATCGCTATTCATTCGATCATATTCGGTCTCTGAAGCCGTCTGATAAGGATATCAAAAATAATGGGAGGGGCTGTGTGAACTGAGTTCAGTCAAGAACAGATATTAATTTAACAGAAAAATATTGCAAAAGCCAAGGGGTCCTAAATCAGTAGATATTTGTTGAAAAATCAAGCTTACGAAAGTACTACTAAGAGTGGATGCTAGCAGTCTTGCTTAAAATTAAAGATGTGGAGTAGCATTTGGTAGTAGTATTTGATTAAAAGCCATTTCGATTTATGAGTATAAAAACCGCTATCAAATAGATATTTCAAGGTAGATAATCAAATAATTTGTGAA